GCCTGCCTCGCCCTCCTCGCCACCCTCGCATGCCAAAGCCCGGCCCGGGAGTCCCGGGGGGCGGGGGAGGAGTGGGACCCCGGCCCCTTCCCGCCCCGCAGAAGTGGCGCTCGCAGGGTGTCGGTGCGCCGAGAGAGGAGGTATGGAGAAACGAGGTGATGCTGGGGAACCCTCTGTGGAAATGCTCTGAGGTGCAACTTTGGGGGTGGGGGTCCCTGCTTGCGTGTTTGGGAACAGGTCTGTGGGGGCACTGGGAGATGACTTTGCCGTCGTAGCCCCAAATTCCCAGCCAGGAGCCCAGCCAGAGTCCTTCCTGCGTGGCGTTTGTCTACGTGAGGGTCTGCGACACTTCTGTCTGCAGCGGCCATCTGTCTTTGACAGCGAGAGAGTTGCCCCCTTCCCGCAGGGTCCCCCCACTACCACCCCACCGGTGGTTAAGGGGGGCTGTCTGAAACGCTGGAGAGAGTTAAAGTAAACACACACAGTAGGTGCCCGTTAAAGTGTCAGAATCTCCAAATAACGTCAGAATCGCAGCCCACTTGGCAAAACCCTTGCGCCTCCTTTGAACATGAAGAGTCTGGGGTGGGGGAAATTGGGGAGCTTGTCCTGGGTGCCTGGTTTAACTGGGATTAACCTTTAAAAAAATCCAGACGCCTCACCTGTGAGTCCTCCAGGTGAACCTGTCTGGGCTTTTCCACAGCTGAATACCTCAAAATCTGCTGCCCCTTTTGGGCTCACTTTGAGGAAGTGAGGGTTTGGCTGAGTGCTTAGGGGTCAAAACCTGTCCGCCCGCTGCCTCCTCAACCCTGCTTTTAGGATTTGATGTTTATAATTTCTTTGAGGGAAATGAGGTGTTTGACCTGGTCCTAGGAACTGGGCAGTGTGCTGTGGTCATTCCATAACAGGAACATGGCAGAAATTTTTTCCTGCGTGAGTTGAGATGAAGTGCCTACTGTGTGCGAGGCTGGTAGGACCCGCAGAGGGTCGTCGGCTGCCTCTGAGGAGGCGGTGGGCTGTCTGGGCTTCGCCTCGGCCTCCAGGGCCTCTTGAGGTGAATGGTGTAACCTTTCTTGTGCCCCAGGAGCTGAATGCTTCCCGGCCTGCCACCCCCAAAATGGATTCTGCGAGGAAGACAATGTTTGCAGGTAATGGAGTGTCCCCCCTCCCAGGCAGCTTGTGGGGGGATAGGGCAGAATTCTGGGGAGTCATGACGTCAGGCAGAAGAATGGGGGGGCCTTGGCCCCTGGACTGCAGCAAACAGCTTCCTCGCCCCCGCAGAAAAGGTGGGGGGAGTGCGGAGGAGAAGAGCGCGGGGTGGAGGGGGAGGGCGGCGGAAGTGGTGGGGACTGGACGGCCACAGCTCCTGTCTGCTTTCTCAGAGGTGGGGTGGCGAGAGAGCCTCTTGCAGGGTGAGACCACTGGCCACTGCGGCAAAACGCAGTCCTGCCTTTGGCTCTCGGGGACCCCTCTGCCTGCTCCCGGCCGGGCTCCTGTTTAAGCCTCTCCATTCAGGTGACTGGTACTGGCTTCCTGGGACCTGCCGGCCCAGCCCTGTGCAGAGACCACCATGGGCTCTGGGTTCACAGAAAGCAGCCTGGGTTCCTTCTCCGGCCTCTTTCCCCAACTCATGTGTCTTTCTCCCCCACCCCAACCCCTGCAGGTGCCAGCCTGGCTGGCAGGGTCCCCTGTGTGACCAGTGCATGACCTTTCCTGACTGTGTTAACGGACTCTGTGTGGAACCCTGGCAGTGCATTTGCAAGGATGGCTGGGATGGAAACCTCTGTGACATAGGTTGGCACGCGCCCCGGCCCACCCCCAGCTCCACCCCCCACACCGTGCCCCCAGCCAACCTCCTCACAGCCTGGTGGCTGCCTCCCCTCCCCCTCTTGCCTTATCCCAACACACCAAGCACTCTGTATGGTAATGATCTGTTCATATACTTACCGCTGGTGCCGGGAGCCTCCTCACAGGTAGGGACACAATTTTGCTCCCCTCTGCACCACCAGCACCCAACACCGGAGAAGGCATGGGGTGGGGGGTGGTTAGAGGGGGTTGCCAGTTGAATAAAGAGTCACCAAATAAACACGCCCACAAAGCTGGGAGGGTGGGGAACCCAGAGCTGAGAAATCTGTCCAGGGGCACTGAAGCTCAGGGAGGGAAAAGGACTCAGGGGGTCGAAGAGCCAAGACTCTAAGAAATGCACACAAGAGACTGTTAAGGAGGCTGTAACAAGCAAGCAAGCAGTGGAGGGAGGTGGGGGTGCTGGGTGCTGAGTGGTGGAGGCCTCAGGGGCTGAATCAGAGCTACTGGGACAGGACTAGGGGCTGTGCTGGAAGAAGTCAGGTATAGGGGGAGGTCGGGGGTCAGGAAAGGCTGAGAAGCCGCTAAAGGGCAGATTGATGTTATCTGTTGATTCCATTAATTTATGCAGTCTTTGTCCTCCATTACCCTGGGCAATTGAGAGTTGGCTGTCACTGCATTTTCAGGCTGCGAAATGCTCATCCGAGCCCATCCTCGTTTGGCAAAAGCTGCCCCGAAGCCCAGGCAAACTAAGGTCCTCTAGAAAACTCCCAGCAGTGTAGGCAGCTGCCGAAGGGCCTCTGCCCCTCGGTGCCCAACGTCGGCAAAGATGAGTGGTACTGATAGGGGAACTGAGGCTTGGGGAAGCAAAGGTGTCTGCTCTGGACACCTAAGAAGTCTAGGAACAGCCAGCTTTAGAACCCTCCCACCGCGGCCCCAGAAGTGAGTTACTTCTCATCTTGGGCTGTTTCTAACACCCTCGCTTAAGGAAAACCTAAGAGCAGGTTGTTATCGCCCCTGCCCCAGTAACCAAGGCAGTGGGTTTTCAGAACCAACACAGCCTCCGTCACGCAGCCTCAGGTCCTTGAAGCCTGCCCCCCCCCATGGTGCAGGCTTTTCCCCACGGCTGACTCATACTCTGGCCAGTAGAGCACCCCTAAGTACCTCTGTGCTGTTTGGGGGACCCAAGGGGTCCCAGAAAAGCTGCCGTTTGGGCTCAGGGCTTTTAGCCTGGAGCCCACCCTCTTTGGTATGGAAGCCCAGGACTCCCCTGTGGAGTTTTCCAGACAAAAGCTTGGACGGCTGGGTCCAGAGGAAACAGCCCTCCGGGTAATTGCCAGCCCTCTCCCTTTTCACCCATCTTTGAGGCTGTCACGGCCACAGCTGCTGCCCCAGCAGCCAGAGACCCCCGGCCGCTTTCTCCTGGTGGCAGCTTAATCCACCCGACTTTGGGGTGGGAGGCCCAGGAGGGGAGAAGGTGGGCTGATCCCCGCTGCCAAGGCTTGACAGTGCAGGCGGGGAGTAGGGTGGTCGCCACCCCTTGAGCTTAAATATAAGATTCCCAGTGACAGGAGAGCTCTGAGCAGGGAATTAGGAGCCTGCCGCGGAGGCTCAGCGCGCTAGCGCCCGGCGCCTTCCCGTAATGATAAATCCTCTTTATGTTGTCTTGCGCCGCGCCGGGCTCCCGAGGAGCGCGCCTCGTGCACTCTGGATCAGCTTGGCGCTCAGGCTCTCCCTTATTGATTGACTGCTACCTCCCCGCCACGAGTGTGCGGGGCTCTTGAAAAGAGGGAATAAATCTGCACGTGTGTGGCCTCAGCACCCGGGACCCCCGCCCAGTCCGCCTTAACTGGCTGCGTCTCTGTTTGGCCCTGGCTTTCTGTTTGGCTGAGGCAGCAGCTTGGAGACTGGAAAACCAGAGCTGAAAGGGCTCTTAGCGATGGGCCAGGGAGAGCCCCTCCTTTTCCCGGTGGGGAAAGTGAGGCACGGTGTGGGGAGGGGCTGAACTCAGCAGTCGGCTGGTCGTGGGCAGAGAAAGGGGCTCTTCCTGGCCCGGCTTGGGGGCTGGGGTCCCCCCTGTCAGAGAGCCCCTGACCCAGGCCCCTTTGTTCAGCCCGTCCCTGCCTCGCTGAGCCCTGGATAATGAAGTGTGTGTGCCGGGAGGTGTGAAAAGGCGGTGGAACCATCCCAGTGTTCACGGAAACCCGTGCTGACAGGAGAGCACGCGATAGTTCTAATTTCGCTGCCTTCAAAAGATGCAGCCTTTTTTATCACGGACCCCCTTAGTTCAGAACCTGAGAGCGGAGAGACCACCAGGAGGCGGAGGCAGTGCTGGGGCTAAGTCAGGTTTCTCGGCCCCTGACGGGGGGCTTTACATCTCATTTCCCTCCTGCCCCTCTTTGATGGAAAAGTATGAAGGGCAGCTGATGTTTCTAACAGCTGGGCTGCACTTGCCCCGTCCCGAGCAGCAGGGCCCCGCTCCCGTCCTCTGTAGCGAGAAACTTGTCTGGAGGAGACAGCCATTAGGGAGGGAATCTTGACTCTGCGCGGTTTGTGGGAAGGGAAGGGGTCGGTGGGGAAGGTTGTGCTGCTGGACCCAAGGGGAGACCTGGTGCCAGGAAGAGGGCACAGCTGTCCTGGGTTGACTGTCCGTGAGTGGCTGGGACTTTCTGTCTCTGACCTGATGCCAGGAAGCCCCTTCTGCTCCCTGAGCGGTTTACTCACTTGGTTGCTACCCCCTCTCGCTCAGGACCCCACTGGGCAACCCTTGGCAGTGGCCACAAGCAGAGACGTCTAGGCAGCTCACACGGGGTCCCCCTGGGCCAGATGGAGAGGGGTCCCCTGCCCCCGCCTCCTTCCAGCCTCTGTGCTCCCCCTCACCTCCCTGTGGTTCTCCCTCCTCCCCCAGACGTCCGGGCTTGTGCCTCGACCCCCTGTGCCAACAATGGGACCTGCGTGAACCTGGATGACGGCCAGTACGATTGCTCCTGTGCCCCTGGATTCTCGGGAAAGGACTGTCAGAAGAGAGACGGGCCCTGTGTGATGGATGGGTAAGTATTCTCTGCGGGCTCTGTGTGATCTGATAAATGCTGCTTTTGATTCCTGTTCTACACCCCCAAAGACCCTTTCAGCCTCACCCAGTCGGACCTGTCGCCTGACAAAAGACCAAGTAAGTGCTCATCCTGCGCCCCGCGGGGGCCGCCCTGGATCAGGGTATTTATGGGAGAGAGTGTCATTTCCATAATTTTTTCAAACAATCCTGAAGGCGATTTCACATTCCCCTGACGTTCCGAAGTCCTGACGTGTGTGAATGACAGTAGATTGGGACTGTGAACCAGAGCTCAGAGCTGCATCATTTTCTAAAGGCAACATAATAAGAGATCAGAGTTCTGCAGTGCCTGAGGCTGTTTTTATGAAACCCACTCCCCGGATTGCAGGGGTGGGTTTGGGGAACTGGCGGGCTCCGTGTTTGGGTTTTCCGGGATGTCTTAGGAGGGAGCCGCTAGGCTGAGGAGGAGGGGAGAAGGGACGTCGGCCAGCACGGGGGCGGAGGTGGGGGGTGACAAGGCCCAGGAGCCGGGCTGGGGAGTCCAGCCCTTAGCTATCCCCAGGGAGGAGGGGGCTCCGGGGCTCTGGGAGGGGGGTACAACGGATGGAATGGCCACCAGCCTCTCTGGTGCCTCTGAGGTCAGCCGTTTCCGGCCCTTATCTGCTCTGCGCACTGAGCCAGTCCCACCCTCCGATGGGGCTTAACTGGAGGCCCAGAGAGATGGAGAGAGAGGCAAGAATTCAAAGCTGGGGGTGGGGGCGCCCCTGTCCTGTGAGGAAACTGGAGCTTAAATGCATTCCGGGGCAGGGGCGGGGCTGGTGGGGGGGTGCAGAGAGCCCCGGGAGTCACGCAGGCCACGGGCCAGTATTTGTGCAGCATCTAAAAACCAATGTCCAGGAGGGGGCAGGGGAGAGGGTGACCGGTTCTGCCTCCTAGCAGGAAGGGGAAATACAGAGCGAGACCTTTAAAATATTTTGCTTTCCTCCCTCACAGACTTAAACCAGTCTGTCAAAATAGAGCCCGAGGTCCTTGAAATTCCTTCAGAGCCCAGGTCCTGTGTTGCCCTCACCCCTGAAGCAGCAATGCTGATTTCTTGCGCTTAGAGCCCCTTTCTTCCCTGGAGTTTTGGCATTTATCAGATGACAAAGGGTCTGCTCGTTTAAAAGCACTTACATTAAATGCTCCGTGTGCTCCGCTCTGAGCAAACAGCTTTGGTTTGCAAGCTGCACTTGGGTGAATGGGCCACTACTAAACAGCCGCGCACAGACAGAGCGCGTATTTCTTTCACTGAGAGTCCCCAAGGGTTTCCTGCGTAATAGCCTGCAGGCTCACTCCGCGGAAAGTAAAAATAAAAAATAATAATAAGGGGTCGGGGGCAGTGGTGGTGGGAGAGAGTGAGTGAGGGAGGGATGCCCTGCGTGGCTCTGCCTCAGTGGTCAGGGGTCTGGGGACAGGGACGGAGCCCAGGGGAGGGGCTTGCTGCAGCCCCGGGTTGTGACTAACTTTACCTCTCTCAGCCTCAGTTTCCCTACCTGTCCAGTGACTAACCATCAGGCCTCTGGTCGGAGAGATGACCCAAGAGGTGGGAGAGGAGATAGGCTTCCCGGCCCGGGAGGTCAGGCGTGTTCCAGGTTGGCAGCGTGATGGGGGTGGGGTGCACACTCCGCTCGGGGGTGCATCCCACCTCGGACACCCCGGGAGCCCCTCGCAGGCAGGGGTCCCAGTGCCCTGCGTGCCCCCCGCCCAGACCCCCTGGCTGGCACTCAGTCACTCATGCCATGTGCTCTGAGCACCTGCCCTTTCATCAGGTCCCAGGAGGTCTGTGATGTGGCAGGAGCGTCCGTCCCCCAGCCCCAGCATCAATGTCCTAGCCCAGCCCCCGAGGGCCCTTTACCATGTCCCCTGTTCTGTTGCAGTTCCCCCTGCCAGCACGGAGGCAGCTGTGTGGACGACGAGGGCCAGGCTTCCCATGCCTCTTGCCTGTGCCCCCCTGGCTTCTCAGGCAATTTCTGCGAGATCCTTGTGACCAACAGCTGCACCCCGAACCCATGCGAGAACCAGGGCATCTGCACCGACATTGGAGGCGACTTCCGCTGCCGCTGCCCTGCCGGCTTCGTGGACAAGACCTGCAGCCGCCCGGTGTCCACCTGCACCAACGACCCATGCCTGAACGGGGGCACCTGCCTGCAGCACTCCCAGGTGAGGTTCGAGTGTCTGTGCAAGCCCGAGTTCACGGGCCCCCTCTGTGGCCGGAAGCGCGCGGCGGGCCCCCAGCAGGTCACCCGTCTGCCCAGCGGTTACGGGCTGACTTACCGCCTGACCCCCGGGGTGCACGAGCTGCCAGTGCCGCAGCCCGAGCACCGCGTCCTGAAGGTGTCCATGAAAGAGCTCAACAAGAGCGCTCCCCCCCTCTCCGAGGGCCAGGCCATCTGCTTCACCATCCTGGGCGTGCTCACCAGTCTGGTGGTCCTCGGCACTGTGGGCATCGTCTTCCTGAACAAGTGCGAGGCCTGGGTGTCCAACCTGCGCTACAACCACATGCTGCGCAAGAAGAAGAACCTGCTGCTGCAGTACAACAGCGGAGAGGACCTGGCTGTCAACATCATCTTTCCCGAGAAGATCGACATGACCACCTTCAGCAAGGAGGCTGGCGAGGAGGAGATCTAGAAGGCGTTCCCGTTCCCACCACCCCCGTATTCCCGCAGCGCCCACTCTACGCGGTCTGTTCTAATCTTTGTGGTGGAGTTTGCTATCCTTTGTGTCGATCTGGTGAACGCTACGCTTACGTATATTACCTTTGTGATGCCGTGTGACCAACGCAATGCCAGCCGACCCCTCTTCTCTCTTCTTAATGCATGATCAAAAATGATAATAATAAGAATTTCATCTTTAAACGAGTAAAAGAAATAAGTATGTTATTCTAAACTCTTAACAACTTAAATGCAAAAAAATCAAAAAGACCAAAAAAAAAAAGGCAACAGAACCAGGGCTCGGTGCCGACGTCCCTCTCCGAGGGGTCTCGGTCACAGGGTCCTCGTGAAACCGTTACGAGTGCTGTACGTTGACCAGTCACTGTGAAAGGGCTAAAATCTCTTTCGTTCGTTAATTCTCACACGCCACTTCCGACTTGCACTCACATTGACACCGCAATGCTTAGATCTTCCCAACCGAGTTGAGATTTTGCAGAGTGCAGCGGCCGCGTGTCAGGCAGAGAGGGAGTGCCCCGGGCTGGTGGCTGGGGGGCCGGGACCTCGTCCCAGCCCTGCCACTAACTCGCTCTGTGATCCTTGGCGAGTCCCCTTTCCACCCCGGGCCACCTTTCAGCCCCTCTCCAAAGAGGGGCTTGACCACAGTGACCACCAAGGTCCTCTCTTGCCCTAAAACTCTGAATTAGGAACGAGGGGGTAATGAACCAAAACAGTTCCTGACCCTAAAAATTAGGATCTGATGAAGACTAAGTCTCATCCTGGGGTCCGAAGGCTTGGCCTATCCTGGATGTACACTTGACGTACTGAAATCAGTTCTAACTGCATTTCTTAAAGTGGGGAGCCTCCTGGCTCACTTCCCTTTTGGAAACGATTGCCTTCTCTGAGTCGCCATGTGCAGTTGCACCCTACTTACCGATCCAAAGCCCCAGTGCTGCTCCTGACTTCTACCCCGTAGGCTAGAGATGTCCCCTGAAATTTAATGCACCTTGAACCACAAGTGCCCCTGGCGCATCTGAGCAGCAACACAGCCCTCCCCAAGGTGTTCACAGGGCTCAGTGGAAATTGTTGCTTGTGGGGCATGTTCTAGCTCTGTGGCCGCAGTGGTACCAGACCTGGCCTACACAGCATGGACTCCATTCGTGTTGCTGAGTTAACATCCCTCAGATGTCGAAAGACCTAGCCAGTTTCTGAATGATAAATTTGACTTTTTTAAGACAGAGCATCTATCTTTTTTGCAAAAAATCGAAGGAAATGGGACAGAGCTCTGTTTAGCTTTCCAGCTCTTAGAGTTGGGCAGCTAAACAGCCCTTGGGTACCAGTTATAGAAATATTTTTGCTTCTTAGAGTATTTGAATAGGAATCTATACTCGTAGCTTTAGTGAGTCTCACCTGCAGTGTTTACCTTGCTTGTCTGTAAGCCATCATCACCTGCGTCACCTCAGCCATTCAGATCACCCACACACACCGACATGCGTCACCGTCATCACACCATCATCGACTTCATGTCTCTTCAGCCACCGGTTTACCGCCCCAAGTCCCTTGTCATCCTGATTCACAGCCCGACCCTCATCTCCCCAAAGCTCTCGCCTGACATCTCACCGAGCCATTGGCCCCATCACTCCAGTCCCTTCGCCTTCCCAGCCCCAGTTCCCCTCCACCCTCGCCACCTGGTCCCTGGTCACCTGCACCCCACAGCCCCGTTACCCCCATTGCTGACCCCTCCCACTCTCGCCACAGACCCTCCCCACGAAGCTCCCCACCCTTCTCCTCCCTCTCCCCACAACAGTTCACCCTCAATCCCCAAATCCTGTCCCCACTGCTGAGCCCCCTCCCACTCCAGCTCCTGTCCCTGCCCCCTGCCCCTCCCTGCCCTGGCTCCCCAACTCCCAGTCTCTGATAACCTCCTCCGGAGCCCCTCCTTCTCCTCCCCCAACCCCAGTCATCGGAGTCATCACCATCGCATCTCATTTTGAGTTTGTTTTAAGAAATAAAACTTAAAAAAGACAAAAAAAAAGAACTGTTGGCACGGTCAGGCGGGTGTCTGGCATCCCGCCTGGCCCCTCTCGCGTGAGACCTTGATCGAGACCGCTAACGGTTCTGATCCTCAGTTCCCTCAAACGCGACTTCTCAGATTGGACGAAGTGATCCAATTCTCTACTCCACTTATTTGACCACCGTGCTGTAGAGAACAGCCTCGTCCCCTGATGACAAAGACACCCCATTGTTAACTTCTCCTTGACTAACGCCTCATCGGTTCATCCTTCATCCACCACCCATTCGATCAGGAAGCATCTCCAAGCACCTGCTGCGTGCAAGGCAGTGCGCAGGGAGCTGAGAGCACGCAGGATGAGGGCCGTCCCGGAGGGGCGCGGACACGCAGGTGTCCCCAGGAAAGCCCAGCTCAGTGCAGGTAAAACAACGTGGGAGTGGAGCGTCCCGAGCGGACGCCTCCCTCACAGCCCGACCATCTCACTTTCCCACGTTTCAAACTGTCTCTTACCAGCACTCGATGAGGCCGCCCCCCAACTCCACAGCGCCCACCCGCACACATCCCGCGAGATCAGAACAGGGTCAGCAGCCTCGCCACGGTCTTCACGTCACGCAGAAATGGTCCATTCCATCCTCTATGGGGTAACCAGATTCTGCTGAGAGTGTCGGGATCTCTGACTGCCCATCCACACCGCCGGTGTGTTTGGAGTAGTGTGTAGTTTACGCCAATAACGGAGAAGCTCAAAGACAGCCATCCAGGACATGATTGCCAGTTTGGTCCTCAGACTGAGAGAGGAGCGGGCGTGATGAGCTTGTGAGCAAAAAATTTCGAACATGTCAGTGATGTGCTCTTTTTAGCTTTTCCGTCTCTGCAACCAGACATGCAAAAAATTTTTGTTTATTGAAAAAATAAACAAAAACCAAGGGCTAGTAAAGTGTTTCTCTGGTTTGTTGTGCGCCGCATTACACACGTCCCTCCCCGCTGGTGGTCTTTGACCCGGGCAAGAGGGGCCAGGGGCCCACGCTTTGGAGGGCCCTGCTCTGGCCCCATCCAGCCCTTCCCATGAGGCAGAGGAGGCTGCAGGCCTCCCAGGTCACACACTGAGGTCCGGAGCTCAAGGATTTCCTGCCTTTGGCCCCACCCCCAGGGCCTGCAAGGGGCCTCTTCTGTCCGTCTGTCTCTGATGGGTGGCTGTGGGTGGGTGGCGTGGCTGGAGCTGGAGCGTGAGGGTGAGGGATGAGGGGTGAGGAGGTTCCACGTGTGAGTATTCGAGGCCCCCCAAAAAAGTGCTGAGGGCCAGCTCTCCCCCACCCACCAGATTCCAGCTCAGAACTCGGGGGGGTCCAAGAATTCCATGCCGAGCCCGGGCCTTCCGGGACTTAGAGAAAGCGGGGTCCCCAGGTGAGGAAGCAGAAGAGGTTTTGTTTGCTACTAAGTCAGCAGGACTTGGAGCCTTTTAAACGTCGGCACGCCAAGTATACTCTTGACTTGGGCCTTGCTCGTGATGGAGGGACCGGCCTCTCTTCTGGCCCCGGGCCCTGGGCCACAAGCGCGTGCACTCAGCTCAGTCAAATCACTCACACAGCGGCCACCTGAGAGGGGTCAGCTAGAGCTCCCACCAAAGGCAAAGGAGCCTCGGTCAAGTCCCTTATCCCTGCTGGCCCAGCAGGCCGCCCGGGGGCGGGGTCTCCATTCCTCCTTCTCTCCTCTGCCAGGTCACTGTCACCGCCCACCCAGCTGCCCGGCCAGGCCCCCGGGCATCCCCAAGACGCCTCCTCACCCGGCCGGCCGTGCCTCCTCCCTGGGCGCCGCTCTCATCCCACTGCCCTCGGCCCGGGAGGGCGGGGTGTGCGCCTTGTCAGAGCAGGAACGCACGGGGGACAGCAGGGCGGTACCGTCTCCGAGATGGGTGCTGTTCCGAGAACTAGAACAGAAAACAGGATGACAACGTTGAGGCTATAAATGCGGAAACTTCTACGAAAGGGATTTTTCTAGGAAAATATCAATTACCACAATGCCTCAGTGTGGCCAGCGGGAGCGGCACTGGGAAGGGTCCCCCAGGTGGGCCAGCTGTCTGTTACCTGATTCGGGGCCCAGAACGTTTGACCCATTGATGGAACAGGGCCTTAGACACAGTCCCAGGGCAAAAAAAAAAAAAAGAAAAAAGGAAGGTCTTTCCATTCTTTTGTCAAAACTAGGAGAACCCCAATGCTAACACCTGACGAAGTTAGCAAAAATAAAGTCACTGTCCTCGCTCCTGAAGGAAGGAGGGAAATCTTCAACACGGTAACAAATCAAAACCAGGCAAGCGTTTCTGCAAAACCCTGTGATCAAGTAGAACATTCTCTGGGAAAGCAAGTCTAATTTAGTCTTAATAAATGTACCCGTGGACAGCGAACCCTGGAGTGTCCGGGAGGGAGGAAACATGATGTGTGTATGGCCGGAGTCCCCGCTGGCCAAGCCTGGGGTCAGGCAGGCGGCTCTGGGAGGAGAAACCAGCCGGCCTGTGGACTCGCCCCCTCCCGGGGGCTGCATGCCTGCGGGGTTGGGTCAGCAGAGGTGAGGGGAGGCTGAAAGGGGGAGCCTAGACATGGAAACTGGGGTGCCTTGGAGGGAAGGGAAGGGCTCAGCGCTCAGTGGCCCCAGCCAAGAGGGCCCGAGGATGGGGAAGGCGCAGAGGTGGGGTGGGCGGGAGTGAGGGCGAGGGTCGTGCGTGCATCAGGAGGATGGTGGCCCTTGCACGGCGCCTCGAGCCTGGGGAGCTGGCCACTGGAACGCCCAGTGAACTCCGAGTGCGGAAGAGACAGGGGCTACAAGTGGAGAAAGCGGATGGAGGGAGGCTTCCTGCTGGGGAGGGAGGAAGGGGGCCCCTGGGCCCGGTCGAGGCTCCCAGCACAGAGAGGCCTGTTGGCAGCTTTGCATGGTTCCAGGACCATCCGGCCCCTGGGTCTGGGGATATTGCTAAGCCAACTACAGATAATAAAATTCTTATGATCTCAGGCCCTGCGGCTGTCTTCCCTTTAGTGTCTCTACCCCATGGCTGAGGAAGAAAGCCTTGGCCTTGCATACCACCCATCCAAGAACCTCGTGTGGTTGACAGGAGGAGGGAGGGGGAGAGCCCTGCCCCAGCCCCCGGGCCTGGGGAGGAAATGCTCAGCTAATTCCCAACCTCAGAGGGCTTTGCCCTGCTGAGAAG